ATTTCACACCACAATATAGCAATTTTTTATTCTTTCCCCAAATATAAAACTAAAGGTTGTATTCACTTCACTCTTTTCTTTTTTCGCTCTAGTTTGGTTGGGTCTAACCGACAATCTCAACATCTAGTCATGTGATGATTCTCCACTAATGAGTGCTTCCACATTCAAGCTTATATTAAGCAATTCAAACCCAATAGTTATCTAAGCCCAAACATCAAATACAATTGCACAATAACAATTTTTTTTTTAGTCAAATCTCATGTTTTTACATCACTCCTTTTAAGCTTTCTTCTTGACCCTTGTAGCGAGCTTTAGGCCGATAGCTCCCCGGTTGTTAGACCAAAGGGTACTGGGTTTTGAGATACCCCAACAGACTTAATAACTCGAGTAAAAAAGGCTACGAAGTGAGGCCCAAGATTCAACAAGTGCAATATCGTTCTTTTAAGCACAAATTAACATGGGTTAGATCCCTAGCATATACTAGGCAAAAGACACTCCACACAAATATTTTTTTCAACATGCATGGACTCGCACACTTCTAGATAGTATCCTTCACCGGCTCGACCATCCCCCAAACTTATCTCACAATGTGGTAAAGTGAAAGAGAAGAGAATATATGATTGACAAAAATTTATGCACAACTCACAACCTAGTTCAACCAATTCAAAAATCTTTCCATCAACCCAAAAATTTGCACATCTAGATAACAATTAATCATGACTATTGTGCTCGAAATAATTCGAGATCTCACATGGACAAGTAATTTTTGGAAAACATTTAGGCACAAATAGCATATTTGGTCATGCATAGCTCATGAATTAATAACAATTTTAAACATTAAACAATCCTAAGCCAGCAAGGCTATCTAACATGTCAACATAAAATTACCAATTCAAGTACATTCATCCTCAAACTTAAATCACACATTGTCTTCAATGTGTACAAGAACAATATAAAGTAAGGAAAGAGGGTTGACGACCCTTCCTTGACTGAATGTTCGTTGAACGATGTTTGGAATGAATTCTTGACTCATGACTTTATATATGATGTACTCCAGATTTGTTGAGATCCATGGGTGGCTGGGAGTTCGAAAATTATGACCTACAAAAAGATGATATTAGTTCAAAAATGCAATAACAAGAGTATTAATCTCAAGCAATAACAAACAGTTATAAGGGTAAGAAGGTTGGGTTGCCTCCCAACAAGCGCTGGTTTATAGTCCTTAGCTCGACTATAAGGCTACTTTACTCCGGATTGGCAAGAGGAATGGACGACTTCTCATTCAAAAAATCGCCTCCAAAGTATGGTTTCAACCGTTGCCCGTTAACCTTGAAGTTCCCATTTTCTTCGTGATGAAGTTCAACCGCTTCATGTGGAAAAAATTTAACAATGGTGAAAGGACCCAACCATCTTGAACGGAGCTTTCCGGGGAACAATCGAAGTCGAGAATTGTAGAGAAGAACTTGTTGCCCAACAAACAACTCCCGCTTCACAATGTGTTTGTCATGCCATTTCTTTGTCTTTTCTATGTA